ATCAATGTGTATGTTAATAGCTTAGTCAAAAAAATTAAGACTTCTTCAAGATAAGAGATTACAGATGGATGAATGAATGAATGGATGAATGAACAACTGGGTAAGATGCCCTAACGCGATCAAATGATTACCACTGTGAGAACTTCCAACAGACTTTTCAAGAGACACCAAGCCTTTAACACACTTCACGTCACACCAAGTACTGTGCTCATCCGAGTATAGCTACTGGAATGAAAATGAAAATGTTCCACATAACACACTATACACACGTGCTGTTGACACATTTACCTGTAGTTTGGCTCCTCTGTTTAAGGGTACACTGTATCTCCAGGTAGGATGCCTTCAACTTTTCCCCAAGTTTCTCAGATGTTTGCTTTACATAAAGATAAATAATGACAACTCCAACCAAGAGTAAAGCAGATAGAACAAAATGATGTTTCCAATGTCAGGTTGTAGGGGATTCAGAAATAAGATTCGTCCCAATACAGGCATTGATTTTCTGGAATCACGTAGTCCTCATCACTGGAAATTCACATAGTTCTATCTTCATTCATTCTTGTCAGGGATTTTATTTATACTTTCCTCCCTACAGACAGCACTCATATTTATTTTATTAAAATTTCTATGAACTGTTTCTTTTTCATCTGCTTAGAAAATTAAGGAAAATTTATTAGCTGATTCTATGTAAATTGCTTTAGTTCAGTTTTCATTGAGGATAAATTTGTTTTGAATATCTGTTATGACAATTATATACAGCTACATTTCCAATCCTAATGCATTTTTAATAACTTCCTTCAGCAGCCAGTGATTTGAATTTCAAATTTCTTTCTACCAAGAAGTAAAAAAAAGTATATACCATTTCATAGCAGTTTCCTATAAAAATTGATTTATGCAGCAAGATCTCTCTCACAGTAAACATATCAAAAGTCTAAATGGGACCATTAATACTCATAAGCTTTATAATATGTATGTTCCAGATAGAGTATAGGACAAAGTTAAAGTTGGGGAAGAAGTAATTCTGTCCTTAGCTATTTTTCATAAAGCCCCTCACTAAGGTTGGAAATATATCACTCATTTGATTACTTTGATTTAGTGCTATTGAGCACTGTAGCAGATTTTGGGGCCTATCAAAATAACTGACCAAGCACAAGTTTAAAGTATTTAATAATTAACAAATAGAACAATTGGGGAATCCATATTAGTCTACTTTAAACTATCTTGAAAATGAAGATTTTGTTTTACAATTCTGGAGATCTAATATTTGAATTGACCATTAATTACTCAAAGGAAAACAAAGATTTTTAACGTGTCAGCCTTTTACATAAAGAGATCTCCCTTTATTTAACCAGACCATGAGAGGGAACTGAGAAGTTCACAGCTCTCCAAAAAAAGGATTCATAATTCTTCTCAGGGAAAAAACCATGGGAAGGGATGGTTCAGTTTTTGATTTTGCAGAAACAAAAGTATAGGTCAGGATAAAAATATCATGAATGTGTATTTGTAACTGCTCATTTGCCTTGATGGCTAGTTGTTCGGGGCTTGGACAAATTAACACCGTCTAACCTCCGGGGTGGTGTTTTCAGGAACAGCAGGATGGTAGTTTTCACAGTTTTCTTGTCGGGAAAATAAACAATTCTTTCTTTAGAATTATTAAAACTTTCAGTTGGGAAGTTCCAGTTAAACAGTCTTGATAATCACTATAAAGGACTTAAATACTCTTCAGGGTTTTAACATTTCTTTTACTAGTATTTCCTCATTCAAGTGCCACTTTACATAATTTTCTATCATTTTTTGAATTAGTCGTTTTTTTTTTTCCATCAAGTGTCAACTTTTTTGATTTGTTAACTCTTGATGAACTTAGATTTGAAATCCCTGTAAAATACCCTGAATGTCACAAGACTGGTACTCAAGTCCACGTCTTTTAGAGGAAAGAGTTTCGTTTCACACTGATCAAGCTTTCACAGACACACATTAGTACACACCCACCTTAACATCACCACCCGGTAGCTCTCCTGGGCATTTTCAATGTAATCTGCCTGCAGTTCTAACTGTTTAAGGAAAAATATCGATCTGAATGTGCCGTAGAGACACCTAATCTAACGGGCCAAGAAGGCCTTCTCTTCACCACTGAAAACTGCTCCTGTGCACAGGGTTCCTGTCTCTGTCACAGCATGACCACTCATCTGTCGCCCAGTCTGGAAAAGGCAGCAACTTGTACTCCTCTCCCGTTTCTCCTGTAGCCAGTCAGTGAAGGCTTGTGATTTTTACTCAAAGTCTGCTCTTCTAGCCTTCCCCATCTTCGCGAATTTCACCATCCTCTTGTCTGTTGCTCAAACCCAAACTCAGGAATCTTCACGAGTCCTAACCTTTCACGAAGACCCAACATGGAATCCCAAAGTACATCTTGTCAGTGTCCACACATCATATCCAGAATGCACCCTTCCATCTCCAGCTCCAACAGTGACACCTGTACCCGAGTCACCATCACATCTAGCCTAGACTGAAAGGGCTAACACCAGAGCGCCTGGGTGGCTCGGTCGTTTAAGGGTCCGACTTCAGTTTGGGAGTTTGCGCCCCAAATTGGGCTCTCTGCTGTAGCACACGGTCTGCTTCAGAGCCTCCCTCTCCCTCTGCCCCTTCTCCACTCTCTCTCAAAAATAAATAAACATTAAAAACTGGCTAACATTTACTAAAACTTACTATATGCCAAGTAACTAGTTGTATACTTAGCTATAAAATTTAATTTGTTAATAATATCTTATTATACTTAATCTCATTTTATGCCTATAGTACCACTTTTTTCCATACAATAACCCTTCTTTGGGTTATAATTGGTTATACTATTATAATCTGAATCTAAAAGAGGAGACAAATTAAGTGCGTAAACAGTTTATGCAATTTCCCACAACTGTTGAATATGCAAGCTAGATTCTAGAGTGTACAATCTTACCCAGTGCGTAATGTGGTTAAGTGGTTTTTATTCCAGCTTGATTATTGAGATATAATTGGCATATCACATTGTATACGTTTAAGGTATACAATGTGGTCCTTTGATACATGTGTACATTGTGAAATGATTACCAAAATAAGGCTAGTCAGCATCTCCCTCCCCCCCAGGGTAAGATGAATAAGTTCTGGAAATTTAATGTGCAGCATGGTGATAACAGTTAACGATACTGTATTATATACTTGAAAGTTGATAAAAGAGCAGATCTTAATGTTCTCGTCACACACACACACACACACACGCACACACACACACACACACACGTGATTAAGATTCTTGATCTTTCTCAACAATTTATTTTCCAGGGTGATCTTTCTCCTTCTTGAGGATTCTGCCTGAGTCTTGAGTGCATGGACTCTGGGTTCGCTGGCTGAAGAGCATCCCGCATTGACCAGTGGGCAGGGGTTCTGACCAGGAATCCAGAGTATAGAGTATGCTAAGCCTTTCAAAATTTTACTCAAAAACTAAAGGTCACAGACTCACGTTTCACAACTTTGCAGTTTTTCACAAAGTCAGGTTTAAAAATATTGCCACGATCACAATCCTAATACAAAATACCAGTGTAACTTTAGACTCCAGATAATTTTTCACGTAGAAAGAATATGCACACTATCTTTGATACTCTATCTCCAGTAGTCTTCAAAAAAGGCATGTAAAGAACACGTACACATGAGAAAACCAAACTCCCGTGAGCTAGGAAGTGGTTGGGCAGGAACGTGAGCTTGGATTCTCTGACAGTAAATCTATACTAATATTTAGAATACCTCATAGAGAGTTAAAGAAATTCAAATGTTACGTTCTCTGATACAGTTTCAAATAGAGTAGAAATTGCTGCTAGTTACTCGTGTAACAGAGTTGGTTAGTCCATTAGTGTAGAATAATCTATTTTTAAAAGGACTTTATCGTTTAGAGAATTTTTAAGTTCACAGCAATACTGAACTCAAGGTACAGAGATTTCCCTATTCCCTCCCCCTTTAATAACACCCCACCCCAAAGTGGTACATTTGTTACAAGTGATGAATTTACTTCGACGCAACGTAATCACTCCAGGTCCATACTTTACAGGAAGATTCATCCTCAGCATTGTACATTGAGTTTGGACAAATTTCTGATGACATACATCCTGCATTATGGTATCATAGAGGACAGTTTCTGTGCTAGGTCTATTTATCCCCTGCCAACTCCTGGCAAGCACCCTATTTTTAATAAAAGGAGGAATTAGACCATATATCACATAAAATAAATTCCACAGAATCACTACATCATTCAGGGTAACTACTCTGTACTACCAACCATGAGAAATTAGATGTTTTACGGGGCTTATTGAAGCATTTCGGCAACAAACAAAACTGCTTCACAGTTCTGAGTTCTGACCGGGAATTCTGACCATCTAATTATCAAATACTTACCTGTGTTTTGATGTTATCACCAAACACAACGCTAGGTAGCAATTTTAGTATCATTCTAGGGTTGTTTCCTACATACTTTTAATTGTTGGTAAATGGATATTTCATTCATGGAATGTATGGCTACATCTCTACACATCAACATATTCGATGATCCTTTCCTGTTAAAGCCATCTAACAGCAAATACTATGCACATTAGCAGAGCCATTACACTGTTAATGCCAGCCTCGAAAGTTTTATCTCCTAAATATTGCCCACAGTGTAAATCAAAGTAACAAATGCACAATTAACCTGAACAGAGGGAAAATGCCTACTCAGCACCTTGGGAAATGATGTGGTTGAATTATGAGTCATCTCATTTTGCAAAGTAGCAATAAAAATGAGTCTTTCATTTTGCAGAGGAACCACTGGCATTTACAGCAGATGATTAAAATAAAGGAGAAAAATAACTTTTGCATTTTATCTGAACAGGGACATTTTATCCTGGTTGTGCTCTGCAGATTTCATCTATCAAAAGAAACGTCTCTATGAGTCGTTGCCAAGGGGTCCCAGTTATTCCCCAGCGATTCCAAACACGGTGACTTACCTTATGGAAGTTTCTGAAATACGCTGCCTTTTCATCTGGAAATTTCTCCAGCCTTCTGGGTCCTTTACTAGAAGCTTTCTTGAAAACCAACCAGCATCGTCTGAAAATCTGAAAGCAAATGAAGGAATCTTATTATCTACCTTTCCGCATGAGTTTTGTAATGTCAGGAATTTACCTATTCAGTTAACCCGTTGGAAATAATTTTTGTTAAATGTACTGATAGAGAACATTTTTTGAGTCTAAACCAGGTTATTCATCAATATCACAGCAAACTTTTAAAAACACAATATTTAATTTAAAAATTATATTTTGTGAAAAGATTTTATGGTTGAGGTTTTCAATGCGCTGGCTTCAATCGTTTTTAATCTAATAAAATCAAATGGTGTCAATATCGCATAAAATATTTATCTCAGCGTGCCAGTGACAAACAATTTTGTTTTCCATGAGTCACGATTCATGAGATCAATGCACTTTCCTAATGCTCTATTTTCTATCTTTCAAATATCAGCACATTTAAAACTGCTTATCTTGTAGGATTCGTTTGTTTTAAAAGCCCAAACACTCATATATTAATTTAGAAAGTAGGAAGATAGGTGTTTTTATAATGGAAGCATCTGTTTTACTCTTTTATACTAGAGAGTAACTGGTATCTGTTAAATGCTTATTATGTGTAATGCATCTAAAAATTTATATACACATGTAATCCTCATTTCTACTACATGAGGTAGGTTTTCTTCATTTTAGGATAAAGACAGCGACAGTGTCAGGATTTGAACACACCTCGGTCAGAACACACATCTCTTCAGCTTTGGTAAAAAAGCAGGACTAGTAATTACACACCTACAAACCATCATTCCTAGGCTTTGCCCCTGTTTCATAGGATTAATTAATATCGGACTGTTAGCCTGTCACCTGATGCCCACTCTGTCACCCTCCCTCCCCAGGTATGTTTAAAGCAAAGTAATAAAATGAGTCTCCTTTCAGTGACTGGAGAGTTCTAGCAAGGCAAATGGGCCACAATTTTATTTTTTAGTTTTTTGAAGTTTATCTATTATTTATTTTTGAGAGAGAGAGAGAGAGAGAGAGAGAGAGAGCGCACAAGCAGGGGAGCGGCAGATAGAGGGAGACACAGAATCCGAAGCAGGCTCCAGGCTCTGAGCTGTCGGTGCAAAGACCAAACGTGTGGCTTGAACTCACGTTTGATCTCACTGTGAGATCATGACCTGAGCCGAAGTAGGACGCTTAACCGACTGAGTCACCCAGGTGCCCCTGGCCACAATTTTAAATTTCAACATTTAGCAGTTTGCTGGAGTATACATTCTCTATAGCCCTAAAGAAATGCACAGAAGAGGGGAGCCTTGGTGACTCACTCGGTTGGACATCTGACTTCGACTCAGGTCATGATCTCATGGTTCATGGGTTCGAGCCCGCATCGGGCTCTGAGCTGACGACTCAGAGCCTCGAGCCTGCTTTGGATTCTGTGTCTCCCTCTCTCTCTGCCCCTCCCCCACTCATGCTCACACGCTCGTTCTCGCTCTCAAAAATGAATAAATGTTGGAAAGAAAGAAAGGAGAAAGAAAGAAATTCACAGAAGGAAGCATCAGAGACTTAGATCACTGTATTTCTCTTCTATTTCTTTATTCAAACTGTAAAGTTGCTACACTATGCTTTTCTTCTTTTTCTTCTATTATTTTTTTTTCTTCTTCTTTTTTTTTTTTTAACTAACACTGGCCAGATAATATAATATTTTTTGGAGCGTGCGTTGTTCATTACTGGCTAGAAGACAGTGTTTCCCATGTTACAAGGTACTCTTTGACCAATCGTGTGGAAGATCTCTCCTCAAAACAGAATAAACAGAATAACAAGGCTCACACTTCCACTTGACTCTTGCTACCTTTTTAGCTCCTTCCTAGTAGCTTCAAAAAGCATCTGAAGGACAATCCTGAGCTTCGGCACATGTGCACACATCTCTCCTTCTCAACCTGCCTGAGATACACCTCCTGTGTCACAGGATTTCTACCCACATACCTGGAAATAAGATGTCACATCACCCCCTCAGATCTCCTGGTATTCTTCTTACACACTTGGGGTTAGCACATTGTGTTCTAGTTACCTATGTATTTGGTGGCCCCTTATTGATCTCCATCCTCACAGTAAAATACTATAAAGCAATTGTGAATATTGATTATAATATAATATCAACATGTGGTTTATTTAGCTTCAACTCAGTTCTCCATGGGTTTATTCAGCATTGTAGATTCTGTTCTTTAAACTTTAGAAAGGTCTTTATATTTTAAGTAAATTTAAGGTAATGAATTTAGAAAACACGAACATACAAGAAAAGGCAGCTTGGTATCATGGAAGATAAGTAAAACTTTGTGTTAGTTTGCATACTTGGGAGTTCCCTGGGTGAAATCTGGTCAAGGAGAGACCCAAGAAAGAGGCAGGCCACCCGAGGTTGGTAGGTGGCAGGTTTACTGAGCAAGGGAACTCATATACTAGGCTTACCTTGGGTGGCCACAAGGTGCTGAATCTTAAAAAGTACACAGAGAAGCCTTAATGGGGTTCAGCCACATATTCAGTCCAGCTGGTCTCAACAACACATTGCCTGTTCAAGACTGTGCTTGAAATGCTTCTGCCTACAGGTACGGTGGAAGGTGCCCTCCAAGGAGAGGGTAAGGTGAGGAACCTCTGACTGCTCTGGTCCAGCCCTCATGTCAACTGGTGGTAGCATCCTCACAATGACCTCTCCCAACATGTTGGAATCCAACAGATGGATTCACATCATGGCTCAGCCATTTACTAGCTGTGCAACCTTAGACTAATCATTCCATGTCTCATAAAGAAGGGACCTCATAGGACAGAGGGAAGAGTCAACAAGATGAGCCCACATCCTAGTGCACAGTAGTTTCCTAACAAGGTCGGCTCCTTTAACTTACAAAGTAAGTGCAATATGCCACAGAGGACAAAGCCACACATAGGGACACTTTCTTTTACTAATGACACATAGTTCTAACAAAGTGCAGAATCAGAATATCCAAATATTCTGTGGTCAGAACAATTAGAGCACCATATACAAATTTTTAAAAATAAAAACCAACACGTTAATGATCTCTGAAACTCGGAATGCAGAACCATAACGACTGGACTTGGAATTCCAACTTGATCCCTTTTGAGAGCCATTGTAAATTCTGGGCAAGTCACTGAACCCTCTAAGCACGTATCCTTCTCTTGGCTGGTGGAAAATAATGCCTATAACATATGATTAGTGTGACAGTGAACAGAAACAAACTATACAAAGTTCACGCCTCTGTAAGGCTACAGAGGAGTCATGAACTAACAGAGGGTAGTATAATGCAAAACTGATAAAAATACCCTTAGCAGCAGACTTCATGCAGCACATCCATAACCATTATGGATATTTACATACATTATAAAAAGCATTGCTTGTAACAACATCCTTTTAAAGGTCTCAAATAATTCCAATAATTATGGTTATTATATTATATATAATATTAACAGACAAACTAAATTCTCTGTTGAGTGCAAGTGAGTTCCTGTTAATTTCACAATAGTTTGAATACTATTAACTTATATGGCTATTTACATTTGTTATTACACAGCTGAATGAAAGAGAAAAAAATGCATTCATTTACTCTCTTCCTAAAATTACTCCTTCCACAATACAGTGTGAATTTTTGCCCAGGATGAATCATTTCCCTCAGTCATTAGTATAAGTCCCACACATTTGTATTGGGATTGAGGGTATTTTACTGCAATGCCCAAGAATATCATTCTTTAGCCAGAACATCTTGATTTTAGTGCATATGCTGCTATTTTTTAAATGCCTGTCTTGCAGAAGTTATTTTAACTTCTCTAATATCTAACTTCCTCATCTATAAATTAAGACCAATATACCTCATGAAGTTGCTATTTGAGGATTTACAAAGATAACCTGCAGAAACTGTCTAGAATACGAGTTTGTCACATTGTCCACACTCTTATCTGAAACTCTTGGGTTTTGAACACCGCTACGAATTAAATTGCATCTCTCCTAAACTGTCACGTTGGATTTCACACCCTCAACGCGACGGTATTTGGAGATGGGGCCTCTGAGATGTAATCAGGTTTAGATGAGGTCATGAGGGTGGGCCCCTCAGGAGGGGGTAAGTGCTCTTATAAGAAGAAACCCCACAGAGCTTGCTTTGTCTCTCTCTCTCTCTCTCTCTGTGCTCCCACATACAAAGAAGGAAGTCATGTGAGCACACAGAGAACTGGTGACCATCTGAAAGATAGGGAGAGGGCTCCCCAAGAACCTGACCATGCTGGCACCTTGATTTTGGACTTCTAATCTCCAGAAGGATGGGAAAATAAGTGTCTGTTGTTTAAGCCACTCAGTCTATGGTATTTTGTCATGGCAGTCCATGCTAACCAAGACAGATACTTTTAGATTTTGTTTTTATTAGCAGAAATGGTGGTGGTTGGTTGGTAGTGGAGGTATTTGTAGGAGTAGTGATATTGTGGAAGCGAAAAAAAAGTTACATGAATCTGAGTAGAAATTTGAGGGATTAGAGCAGATCACTAAAAATATAATTGGCAAAATGAGATGTATATAGAGTTTCAATATGATTTCTATTTATTAATAGATTTAGAATCTTAGTGAGGCAGGAAGACTCTCTTTGAAAGGAATTGAGACCAGATCCCTGGTAACATGGTTTCTGTTCCTTCCTATGGAACAATGCTTTCCCCTGTACCCTTTGCACTTTATTGCTCATAGCTCTCAAGCCATGATGACGTCAAATGAAGCCTTATGATATTCATGGAAATACACAAACACACTCACTGACTGTAATGCCCATCTTGTGTGACTACAGTTATTTTCCATTAAAATGTCAAAACGAGTTAAATATGAGTTGGAAAGCATAAGTGTTTCCATTTTGGCACTCTGTATTGCTATAGAATAAATCTGGTAATGAATAATAAAAAGAGTGGATATTTTCAGTAGTATCTTGTCTGTCTGCTATTACATTAAGAGATACAACCACATAAAGCCAAAAATTATTGTTAAAGACTTGATTCAATAAACTGTTTACCAAGCAGAGGCCCTTAAATTACCATTTTCTTATTTTGGAATAATTTTAGATTTACTGTTGAAAAAATGGTACAGAGAATTCCTAAAAAGACTTTACCCAGCTATCCCTAATATTCACATCCTAAATAACCATGGAATGTTTTTCAAAACTAAGAAATTAACATTGGTAAAGTACTATTACCTAAACGACAGAGTCAATTGAAAAATCACCTGTGTTTCCACCAATATCTTATTCTGTTTGGGGATCCAACCCAGGACACCACATTGCATTTAGTTGTCCTATCTCCTCAGATCCCTCTGATCTTTGATAATTTTTCAGTCTTTTTCCCTTTTTTTTTTTTTTTTTTTTTTTTTTTTGGTTTTCATGGTCTCAAGAGTTTTGAAGACTATTGGTCAGGTATTTTGCAGTGTTAAAATTAATACACAAAAATCTCATTTAAAATGGAGTCAGGAGGAGGGCACCTGTTGGGATGAGCGCTGGGTATTGTATGGAAACCAATTTGACAATAAATTATATTTAATATAAAAAATAAAAATAAAAATAAAAAATTCTTCCCTAAAAAAAAAAGTAAGTACATAAAACGGAGTCAGGAGGCCAGAAGGGGGAGCACTCACTCACCACCACTCTCAGTCACACACCTCTAAGGGAAGAGATGCCCCTTGCAAATGCAATACTGCTTTAACATTCCAACAGGAAGAGGAACATTTCCTTCCTTGCCAGGCAACCCAGCCCACGAGAAGTTGGTATCACCCTGGCCCCTCGCTTTCCTTCAGTGGACCTTTGTCTCCCTCCCAACGTCCTCCATTTTCTTTATAAAATAATGTCTCTCTCCTTTGCTTATCGGACTTGCCTGGGGCTTTTGCTATAGCTTGCTTACTCTGAATTGCAAATCCTCTGCTATTCCCAAATAAACCCATTTGCTGGTAAAATAACTGACTGTTTTGTTTTTAAAGTGGGCAGGGAAATATCCACGTAGATCAGTGTCTGCCATGAAATAAAAGATAAAACGAATAAAAGAACCTCTTTTAAAATGAAGTCAAAGACCAGAAGGTGGGGCTCTCACACCCTGCCACTCAGCCACCCTTCCAGGACTCCACAAAAAGAAAAGTATCTTGCATCCCCAAAGGAAGAGTCCTACACTTGCCTCCAGCAGCAGAGGAAAGGAAGATTTTCTCCTTGCCTGGCAACAACCCAGCCAGGGAGAGGCTGTCACAAGTCAGCCAATGAGGAGCCACTATACTCTGAACCCTGTTTATTCCCATGGACTTTTTGTTATTATAACAGCCACAGCCATTCTTCTCCTTTGTTCTCTAGACTTGCCTGGGGTTCACTCTCAAATTACAATTCCTCTGCTATTCCCCAATAAACCCATTTTGCTGCTAAAAATAACTGGCTGTTTCATTTTCCGGTTCAACATTACAAAGTTCCTCAATTTAGTCTGTCTCAATAAGTTCTTTTTTTATATTTCAAAAGTCTAATGAAAATCTCACCGTAAAGTGATGAAAACACATAGTGTATTGGGGAAAATGATATAAATGCATCACAGCTATTTGGACTATTTATACTTTGACTAGAGGTCTAGTTGAACCCTTAAACTTAAATCAGTAAAAGAATAATTTAATAAATGCTAATGAATGCCGAAGTTTTCCGTTTTGCTTTCTTTTCTTGTTTGATGCAGTTTTCCAAAATGTTTTGCTTTGTCATCAGAGTAAAATAATAAAAAGGGCTCCGGTGCTGAGACTTGGGAAGTATTCTGTGTCAATGTAAAGTCAAATTCAGCATGAATCAGCGTTCTAAAAACAACCTTCATACTAGCAGCATAAATAAGCCGAAGCATGAGGAAATCACTTCTTTGTTACTCTTCATCAAACACGATTTTAATAGTGCACTGTGTTCTGCTTTAAGCCCTAGAAGTAGTGTCTTATATAATAAGTATGCTGGAGAAATTCCAGAGATGAGCAGTAAAATGATTGCTTGAGACCAGGGAATCACTCCTCTGAGGAACAAATAAATAAATAAATAAATAAAGGAGTAGGCTTTATTTTGCTTATAAATGAAAGATACTAATTCTTCAAGTACATGAAAGAGAACCACAGAAATGGAATTAGATACCTTGTTTTTATTTTTGTCCCAGGAGACAAAATAGTAATAAATGCCTTTTGTTAGCAGTATGCGGGAGGGGCTGGTACAGTCTCCTTTGTCTGGTTCTTCAAGGGCATCGAAGATGCAAGGACCATTTGGCTGGTTAGCAACAGATCTCAGTGCTTGCAGGAAGATGCACTTTCCTCCTGTGTTCTGTCCCTTAGCTGATGACAGTCTTGCCTGTCCCATCATAGCTCAGGATGCTGTTTCACTCTCTGAGGGATTGGCGGATCTCACCTTCTCTTTCAGAGTTATCTCCCAAACATGCCAGTTGTCTCACCAAGCAGGCTCCTGAGGACTCTTCAGATTTTCCTTCTAGAAAATTCCATACTGTTGCCAGGACTCCACAGACCCCCAGGATCCCCAGATGTTCCATGGCCTCAGTTTTCCACTGCATTAGGCAGCTAGCCAGCTTGCCACAATTAAATACCCTCTTAATTCCTTTCTATCTGATGGAAACCCTTTTACCTCATAGCAATCTCTTTTCCTTAGTGTTTTCTCTTTCCAAGGTGATTTTACACAA